AAGGCTTATTCTTTCTATCGGCTACTCTGTTATGGCGCTCTGGCTGAGGTGGGATTATTTTCTGTGGAATAGTTGGTCCCTCTAGGACCGTTTCTGGCACATTGAATATGGGTATGTCTGTAGTCTCATTTTCGGGCAAGTCGTCTTGAGGTATATCGGAAAATTCTTCCATATCACCTAGGCCAGATTCACGGAGCTTAGCTACGATCTTGGAGCGGTCGAGAATATATTGCCATTCTCTTATTCCACTACTTGCTCTCTTGCATTCAATAATATTTTTCTCTAATAACTTCTTACAGAAAATGTTGTTAGGGAATATCTTTTCACCGTTTTCTCCACACCATTCAAGATAATTCTGATACAATGATGTACGACTTGGGTTGGCTACTTTATCCTCAACCCAAGATGTAATATGATCAATTAAAAATCAAATGGGATTAGGAAGCTGGTCGCGCATTATATCTACTTTCATTTTAGTTGCAGGAATTTCTTGTGGATCAAAATCTGAGATATCTAGACTAAGAAGATATTTCATAACTACGCCAGGCGCATCAGAATGGTCAAGTATATTTCCTAGTCTTTTGAAATACTTTGTATTTCCTCTACAGCATGTAGAGACATTAAAACAAACTACACGGGAATCTCCTATATCTATTTTGAGTGGGGCGTCCTGATTGCTTGTAACCATATATCAGGCAAAATCTTTTAATCTCTTAGTTTCAAGACCTTTGCGTTCTATGGATACCTTCCCTTCTGTTATAAGAGATTTAAGATGCCCATTAAATCTATGCCATTCTCCACTAGACATCCCAGTCTCATTCATAACAATAAGTTTTCGAGCTTGGATGACGCTATTGAAGCGCCCAAGCATTTTTTCCAAATCCGATCCTGCATAATGAAGATGCTCTCCTAGAACTTTATCACCAATAAAATCAGTGATAATATTTTTTCCGCACTNGCCCAAGCATTTTTTCCAAATCCGATCCTGCATAATGAAGATGCTCTCCTAGAACTTTATCACCAATAAAATCAGTGATAATATTTTTTCCGCACTGTTGTAAAGTGGATTTTAGTACTAAGATTGTTCGAGGCTTCTTTTCTGGCTTCTGAACCAAATATGCCCACCAGTTCCAGATATATTAATTGAGTTTTTCATCCCCATTGCAAATTATATTCTTTACATGCCAGAGAATCGGATCCATAATTTCTTTATTAACCTTTGTCCCTGGCTTAGCTAAAAATCCTAGGAAAAGGTTAAAGAAATCTGAATCTGGTTGAGGAACGCTTATGGGATATGGGAGGAAGTCATAATCTTCGTAAACAATTAGACCTTTAATAACTGCCTGGTCTATTAATGATTTTAACTTTACCGATTCACCCCCATATTCGATTATTTTAATCTCAAACTTGGCAAGCTTTAGCTCAGCTCCCATATCGAAGTAAAGCCCATTTTCTGGATCCTTATGTTTTAATATCCAGATTGGTATTTTCTTTTGAATATAAGCAACAGTTGATTGGATTGCTTCATAAACTTCAGCGCGGGAGAATTTCTTACCCGAAGTACACATACGTATTAAATCCCACCATACGAAATGGTCTTTTGGGTTTGAAATT